TAGCACATTCTCAAAAAACATCTTTCGGTCTACAAACAATTATTTCGTCTCCAAGTTTTAATTTTAAAAGGAAAAAAATATGCCTGAGGATGAATAAAGGATTATTCGGAAGTACTTACATTTTAAAAAAATATAAACTGGAAACAACAGACAACAGTTTTATTAAATGAGGATCACATCATTCTATGGATTAACAGTATTTTAATGCATACATTATATATTCCTAGCGATGGGATATCGTCAATAATAGCATTGCTGATTGATTCTATGCGTGATTATATCTTTTTGTATATATATATATATATATATATATATATATAGTTAAACCTAGAGCACCAGACAAACATACCAAGGTTTTCAAGGTTGGGTAGTCGCATCGGGGTTTTTTCTTTGGCCCATGAACTCGTATGCTGGACGATTATTTTCGGTTAACGTACATGTTCTTTGTTCTTTCTTTTTATATTTTTTATACCTTTTTGTTCCCTTTGGTATTGGCTTGTTTATTCGCAAATCAATACACGGAAGGTTTTCCCAGCGAGTATAGTTTCTTATACTTATAAGATTTCTATTAATATATATATATATATATATATTTAATGATATTATGCTCTACATTGCAATGAACACTTAAAAAGTAAATGCTAAAGAAATGTCGATTGTAAATCTATTCTTTATCTTCGCTTGCATATATATATATATATATATATATATATATATATATATATATATATATATATATATATATATATCTTAAAAGCCTGGAACAACCTACCTAGGTTCCACCTAAACGGATCTTCAGGGTAATCTGAAAAATGTCACCTTGTTAATAATTTGAAACGCTGTGGATATATATATATATATGTGTGTGTGTGTGTGTGTGTGTGTGTGTGTGTGTACACACACACACACACATATATATATATATATATATATATATATATATATATATATATATATATAGCCACAACCTTTCAAATTATTAACAGGGAGACATTCTTTCATTTTGTCACAAAACTACCTGTCAGAATTTAACGAGATTTTCACATTATAATCGGAATAGGTATATGTGCAGGCTGTATAAAAATTGTATTGTTCTGCGCAGCAGGAAACAAATGGTGGTCATTTGCAATATTAACACGATATAGATGTGTTCCAGACTATAAATGAGTGTCGTTATAACTGCACAATTATGTGTCCCAAATTTGACTTGACGTCTTCTGTGAATGATATAACATCTGACCTTTTCAAAGGCAAATCTACATTAGAAATATTCAGAATAATTGGAAGATATCGCCAAACTGTGAAAAGATTTGTCGCAGCTTCTAAGAAGGTACGTAAGCGGGCCGATGAGGCTCACTCGAAGGTTTTTTTCCAACGTTCTTTGTCTCCAATGAAATCTTAAGCTGTAAATAACCCAGGCCTGACAAGGGGAGCGCTTTTCAGAAACATTGGAGAAGCAACAGTGTCCAGATGTACACGCTGTCGTCTTCTAAAAATGTTCGGGACATCAGTGAAACCAATGACAAAAATGACAAAAGTAAACATACAAATGTTTTTAAAAAGCGGCAAAGGAGAAAATGACAGTTAACGCTTGACACCCCAACAAGGAGGAGGAGATTGGGCTGGTATTATTGGAGGTATCATGTTTGGTCTGTGGAGAGTGCCCGACGGTACGGAAATAACCTCAGATGTTTATATAGCCTTCCTCAAAGAGCACCTGGAATCTTGGCTAAAAAATAAAAAGAATCCCCTTCAGGATAACCATCGTATTTATGCAAGATAATGCTTCTTCACATTCAGCGCATAAAACTATGGAGTACCTGCGGGAATAAAGTTTCTGTGGACCTCGGAAGATGAACTGGCCTGTCAGTTTTCCAGACTTAATCCTAGTTGAAAATTATGTAGCATCCTGAAGCGAAGTTTTTATGAGACTGAAGGCCAATTTAGCAGCAAGGATGACTTACGACAGGAAATATTCAACCTATCAAGTGAAATTACATCAGGGAAGATCCAGAAATTGATATGTTCGATTGATCAGCACCTTTTCCAAGTCATTTAAAAAAAAAAAAGGATCACATATCTCATATTAACAAATCTACTAACCATTTTTTTTTTACGTTGTTTACTTTTTTATTTCGAATTAATTTCATCTTAGTTACTGTATGTATCCATAAAAATATGTAAATGAAGCAATTAAAGTGTTATTTTCCTTTTACAGAGATTTTTATTACACCTCGCTAATATTTTGACAAGTAAGTAAATTAATAAATGATCATAACTTCTGTTCCTTTTTCTAGAACCTTACAATCTTTACAGAGTAGGTGTATATATATGTTGTCAACAGTCTCTGCTAATTTCATTAAATTCCAACCAGTAGTTTCTGGCAAGGATGGAAAAGCGTCACCTCATTAATAATTTGAAACGCGGTGTGTGTGTGTATATATATATATATATATATATATATATATATATATATATATATATATATATATATATATGTAATAAATATATAACATATATATATATATTTATATTTATATATATAATATGGAGATTTACGTTGGTCAAGTGCGATGACTTAAGATGAAGATGGTGTGATGTTTCTTCATCGAGAACATTCAAGAAAGGAGTGGCAGATATTTTAGGATTAAATTGACATCATTATCCGATCGTTGTGTCAGAAGGTGAGAGTGGATATAAACGTACATATTCTTTTACTCGACATTCTTCATCTTTCTCTTTCTTTCTCGGCAAAGGGTCATAGCTAGCGAGCACAATACAAAGGGACCTCCCGTGTTTACTCTCAACCAATTAATCTAATTCCCGTTGTTATGGACCATTGATTTCCCTTAGCCTCTCGCCATCTACAGACAAGTCTCTGAACTTACACGAAAGATACACTTGCTGGAAGAGTTTGGTAGTTAGCGCAGTTGGACGGCTGTGAAGAGGTCCGAAATAGAACAGTGGCTCTTTCAGATTCGATAATGAAGTCAAGATTTTGGCTTTATGAAATATGAACATTTATGTCTTTGGAGAAACATCTAGGTCAGAAAATGAATACATTATCTATCTATCTATCTATCTATCTATCTATCTCAGTCTGTTCAAATCTATCTATCTCAATCTGTTCAAATCTATCTATCTATCTATCTATCTATCTATCTATCTATCTATCTATCTGTTCTCAATTAGTTTCTATCTATCTACCTATCTGTTGTGGGTTCCGTCAATGGAATCCTGCACAAATAAATAAACAACGCCAGTAATTGAGATAGAAAAATAAGTGTATTAAACGTAAGAATACAGACTTGAAGTGAAGATTAGTAGTCCAGGAATGCGGATTAGTAGAGAGTATATGTACAAGTGTCTGTAAGTAAAGCCGTAATCATCTCTCTCTCGTGCGCGCGCACACACACACTCACACAGAAATACACATATAGTATTTCCTCATAAACTTTGTACCAAGCAAATTTACGGACTACCGAAAATTCACAAATCGAGTGAAATAAAAGCAGGTATCCAGACACAAAAAGCTGAATGCATTAGTATCCCAAACATTAGTGACCTTACATTTAGACCCATAGTAGCAGTACTAGCCTGTCCAACTAGCAAACGCAGTAACCTAATGGGCACAATATTACAACCATTTATTAAGCAGATTAAAAGCTACATCAGAGACGAAATTCATTTCCTTAGCTACATATCACAAAAAGTAGATCCTGGAACACTTATGGTAACTTTTGACATTAGTAACCTATATAACAACATACCCAAAGAATTAGGCAAACAGGTAATCTCATTTTGGATTGAAAAACATCCAGAAACACTACATCCCAGATTCACTAAGTAATTTATTATCGATACCTAATTCTAAACAATAACACTTCTGAATTTGCCAACAAAAACTATATCCAAACCCTAGGTACTGCAATGGGAACGCAAATGATACCAACATATGCCACCCTAATATTAGCTTACCTAGAGGAAAACCTCTATGAAAAGACAGAACAAATAGATGGGTAAAATATAAAAACCCATTTCACTAAATCTTGGAAACGATCTTAGATGATTGATTCATTTTCTGGAAATCCTCATGGTGTGATATGAACCAATTCCACACGCTACTTCAGAACTTAAACCCAAAAATCAAATTCATCAAAGAATATAATTTCAACGAATTACCATCTTGAGATATGCGCATTAGAAATAAAAAAAACCACATAATCACAGATATCTACCATACACCTACAGACACCCAACAATACCTTCATTTCAAAAGACTCACCCTGAAATGCAAAATTATGGAAAATTAAGCATAGGTCGCCTGACGATTGCATCTAGCATGAAACAGCCTGTCGCTTCTAAGTGTTGACTTCACTGTTCACTTTTACAGACGCTATATCTCTGATATCGAGCCCTTTATCCCATAAATATGGCACACCTTAAGAGTATATTTCTTCATATATATATATATATATATATATATATATATATATATATATATATTTTCAGTTTACCTTTATTTTAATTTTTTTATCTATTTATTTATTTTTCCCTACATCAAAATGGATTACTCCATTATCTTGCCAGTAGCCTATAAATAAAGTCGGACAGATTCAATTTGTACCTGACGATTGTTACATGTATGAAACATTGAGTAACATAGATCGACGTGGATATATTTTTACTCTATTTTAAACTCAAACCATCGATTCACCGCTAAAGATGTCGGCAATATGCCCAGTTCCTTGTATCGTTCTAGTAAGCACCTGACTTCACCTGCTATCCTCTGCCTTAACAAGAGCCAAATTAGGCTGGGAATGGAGTACTGCTGTTATACATTGGCAGGAGCTGCCCAGGCGGTACTTTCTAGTCTCGATAGGGCGCAAAAGCTTCTCCATGCCATTGACTTATCATTTTCCACCCTACAACCTCTTTCCCTGAACTGAAACTTCGTAAGCCTCTCGCCGCTGTATCGCTATTTCAATGGAAAACTGACAAACTGCTTTCCTTCGTTCCTCCTGTTTTAACCTTCACAGCTAAAACCCGTCATGCCACGCCTAACTGTAGTGAACCCCACTTCATTCCGTTCGTATTCCATTGGTGAAATGTAAGCTCCACTCAGGCAGCTTCTTTGTGAAACCGACTCACAAAAGGATGCTTCTCCGATCATTACAATCTTAAAATGTTCACATCTAGGGTTAACCTTTATATTCCCCACATATTTGCATAACCTGTTTATATCACTTTTTAACCCTCTACCTCAGTGGCTCTTGAGCCTTGTACAAAGCGAACAACATAGTAAAATAAAACAAAAATGTCTAACAATTCTACTTATTCTGTGTGTCGTGTTCCTTCGGGTCTTTGGTGATCATGGCTCTCCACAACTTCCTATCCTTTGTACCTCTAAAGAATGTCGTTTTTCCCTCCGTGTTCTGCCATTGACCCAATCAATTACGTAAGTTACTCGCTGTCTCCTTCTCTCTTCTCAAATTCAATATCTCCTGTGCGTATCAAATGCTCCAAGCCTACTTTCCTCATTATGTGTCTTTTTTGCTCCCATTTTCCTAAAAACTTGCTCCTTACTCACGTGTTCTGACCATTTTTTTTCGCAGTATTCGTTTATAGAAACAAATTTCAGCTGCAGCAAGTATTCCTCCCTTTGGGTGGAAATTGGCCAGTTTCCATCAGATTCAAGATACACTTAGCGTAGCGAAGATATGGCACAAGGCCGAAAGCATGGAGCACCCAGTGAGGATTGAGTTCACTATTCAGTCGTGATTGATCTAGCAAGACTTGTTTGCTAACCATTACATAAAGTCGAAGTGCCTCGATTTATTAAGCGTGGCACAAGGCCAAAAGTATGGAGCACCTAGTGAGGATTGAGCTCACTACTTAGTCATAAATGATCTAGCAAAACCTTTTTACTGACTATTACATAAAGTCGAAGTGCCTCGATTTATTAAGCGTAGCGTAGATATGGCACAAGGCAAAAAGTATGGAGCATCAAGCTCACTATTCCGTCATAAATGATCTAACGAGACATAGTCGCTAACCATTAGGCCACATCGAAGTGACCCGTTTTGCTAGATATTTCGATCTTCATACTTGTTTGATTTTGAACTCTCCAATTTTTATCCTGCGTATTGGGCCGTTCCACTTGCTGACAGCCATACATTCTAGTCATTTCGAGTCTGACAATTATCATTTTAATTTCTTTGTATAAAATTACAAACAAGTAAGTCAAATTCATACCTCCTTCATTATGATAATTACGGTCCCAAAAGATATAAAGTAACTATAATTAAAACTTTAATTAACAAAGTTCACCTAATTTTCTTCTGGCGCAAAGAACTGGCCAGCATAAAACAAACACTAATTAATAATTGATTACTTAATTAAATAACAGACCAACAAATTAAAATTAACCTACAAATATGTAACTATAAAAAAAGATCAATAATCCTGACAAAAATAATTAATTTTTTCTTCTGTAATCAAATGCAAAATGATTATAAGCTAGATGAAAACGTCATGAAAAATAAAATACATAGATATATAAATTGGAATTATTATAAAGATTCTATTTAAGTGTATTAAGAATCTACACACCCCCAATGCAAAAGAAGAAATATAGATAAAAATATAAAAAATACAGGTAAAAAATATAAAAAAAAATACATAAAAAGTATAGATAAAAAATTCACGACAATATAGATAAAAAATATAATAAATATAAATAAAAATATAAAAAATATAGATAAAAGTATAGATAAAAAATACATGACAATATAGATAAAAAATATAATAAATATAAATAAAAATATAAAAAATATAGATAAAAGTATAGATAAAAAATACATGACAATATAGATAAAAAATATAATAAATATAAATAAAAATATAAAAAATATAGATAAAAGTATAGATAAAAATACATGACAATATAGATAAAAAATATAATAAATATAAATAAAAATATTAAAAGTATACATAAAAAACACTTTCAAAATAATCCAATATCTTTATTATTTCATTTATGATAAGTGAAAGGCATACAAAATATACAAACGCAAAAATCCAACAACATTATTAGCAGCAATAACAAAGAGAATACACTAGATAAAAGCATACATAATCGTACCTACTAACTCCATAACATCCACTATCAGCAACAATTCATCCAATTGAAACAACATCAAAATAACTACAACCATTTGGTGGTATTTTGTTGAGTTTTAATAAAAATGTCACAAGCCTCATCAATATATATATATATATATATATATATATATATATATATATATACAGTGCGTTCTGCTTGATTATGCAAAATAAATTTTTCATCTAACGTGTCAATAAATTTTGTTTTTTTCAGACTTAGTGCTTCTTACAGATTAAATTATACTTTCAAACAAGTAAATATGGTAAATATGGTCAATGAAAAAAAAGTTGTATAGTAACAAAATATGTAAAAAGGCACAGTTTCAAGTGTTCGGTTTGATTAACCAATCACCATATAAATCCTTAATATGGGTAAGAAAAAGAGTCTTACTGAAAACGATCATGTTGAAATTACTCGCATGCTTGGAAGTGGTCTGTCAATGCTAGAAATTTCAAAAAAGTTACATAGAGACCACCGTACAATCAAAGCATTCATCTTAGGCAGTAAATCATGCAGAAAGACACCTAAACGATCGCATTTGCGAAAGTTAACTGCCAGAGATCTTCGTAAAATTAAATATGAAGTCTCGAAAACAACTGCATGAAACTAGTAAAAAAATATTTGAAAGCGCTGGAGTGCCCAAAGTTGGTAAAACTACCCGTTGTGAGGTCCTCAACACCCTTGCCAAAGTGAAGAGTCCCATCAAGAGGCCCTCATTGAGCAAAGCAAACAAGATGAAAAGAGTTGAATGGGCACACAGTTACATAAAGACCAATTTTAGCAATGTGATTTTCACCGACGAATGCCTTACTACCCTTGATGGGCCTGATGAGTGGTCATCTGGATGGGTGTTAAATGGTCGACCAGCAGGAGTACGCATTCGTCGACAACAGGGTGGCGGAGGAGTGATGTTTTTGGCTGGGATCCGCGGAAATGAACTAATAGGCCCAGACAAAGTAGCCAAAGGGCTTAAGCTAAATTCAAATACATATTGTAGGCTTTTGGAAGATGCCTTTCTGCCCTGGCTTGATGAACAACCAATTCAGAAAAGAAGATCGTTGATATTTCAGCAGGATAATGCTCCAGCG